GACCCTGTCATTGCTTGTCTCATTAATCATCATTAGCCCGTCCATTAGTAACCATGGTCCCAGGGAACCATACTGTCCCGCAATCGATCCGCACTGTCATTACATATGCACGTTGAACTTCTTTCACAACGTGCGTAGCCAACCGTGCTATTCTTTGGGTCTTTTTTGGGTTTCTATGGGTCTGTGTGTCTGTGGGCCTCTGTGTGTGTATGTATGGTGAACATCTTTTGCACCATACGTAGCCAATCTTTCTTATTTGAGGTGCAGAGGGGAAGGACAAGAAACTAAACATAAAAAGCAGTGCTAAAGAAATGAGTTTGTAAATCTAGATGATGATTTAAAAGTACATAGGTCCGAGTGGCTTCCGAACATTGGAAGGAAGATGGTCGCAGAGGCGCACCTGAAAGCGATGTGGTGACCGTTTTTGTTTAATGATTAGCCAAACGCTGCTGCGAGGATGCAAATTGTGCATCGCACGTTTGTTTCATCTTCATCATCACAGGCGTAACCAGGGTAGCCTAAGCAGAGCTGTGTAGGAGTGGCTGCGTTTGGCGAAGAGCGCCCCCTACAGCGTTTAATGTTTGACCGTGATGTGTTATGATGTGATGTGATTGACAATAATTGACTCTAGGTGTGACCGTGTGAAGAGACGAATCACGATATTGGGATTACCCCCCACCTGACTGATTGCCGCACCACCCCCTGAGCTACTGAGTTACTATGCCCGCTGAATCAAATAACAACACACTTTTAAACTAAACTATTTTATTTGTCCAGGTAAGGCACCACTGAGCTATATAGCTCTGTTTTAGAAGATACCTGGCCGCAAAGTATAGCTCAACGAAATAGCTTATATATGGAAATTCATAACAGACAAATACTCTAAACGCGCGTTTTAAAATGTGTAACGGAAACTGGAGGACCCATTGAATAATCTACGCGACCACGGCAAGAGTGGACATGCAAACTCTAAATATATAGGAGTCAGTGTCAGGATCGAACCCACCACCTCCTGTATACCAAACAAGGTGGTTAACATCTCGCCACCACGACACCCATACTCTTATATAAGCGCACAACTTCATCAATCTGTGATGAACTCTGCACTTTCCATCGTTTTCATGCAGGGGGTGCTGCAAACCTACGCGCCCCCTGCATGAACGACGGAGGGGCAGGGACAGACGTTTGATCACGTTGGAATCGATCTGCAGACGGCGGTCTTCTCGCACGGCCAGCTCTATGTCGCCTTATCTCAATCCTAAACAGGTGAAAGTCCGTATCAAACTGAACCCCCTGCAAGGCCATCTACTTAACGACAGAGAGAAAATTCACACAAAATGTCCTTTAAAATGAAGTCTTCCAGATGTAAAATGATATAAGCTTTTAATGAAGAAATACAATTATCTAATTCCAAACATAATACAATTCAAATATGTTTCATTTTAAAACTTCAAAACGGAGCATCGGGTGCTTGCGTGAATGTGGCACAAATTTTTTGTGACTTTCCTGGCCGAAGGCCGTGAATGATTGTTAGGGGTGCCACAGGCACCCCCGAACAACCATTAGTTACATAATAATTAAATAATATTGATGGCACACCTTTCAGAACGACATTGCTACTTATTTTTTAGAACTGACTTTAGCTTGCTGGGGCCTCCCTCCTTCTCCCTCATCCCGCCTCCTCCAAACACCTCCCTCCTCCTCCTCCCTCTCCTTCCTCTCTCCTCCCCCAAAAACTATTGGCTGTACATCTGTGTAAGGCTAGCCGTTTCAAATGAATGTCGGCACTGGCTTGAAACTTTCAGGCTGGCCTGGTTACAATCAATCCTGGGCTTAACCCGCAGGCTGGATTACGTGATGGACTCACATATCTTGAAAGATCTGGACACAGCACCATCGGTGAGCCTCCTCTTGCAGGCGAGACTGAATTGGCTGTGTCGTGTCGTGTGGTCTGCATGCCCTGCCACCAGGTGCTCTAAGAACATCTGTCTGGCCGAATAGATGGGCTCGAGAAGAGGTGGACTGATGTGGCTCAGGAAGATGTGGAGATGATTGGTTTTGGTAATGACTGGTGCCAGTAGTGTTAACATTATATAATAACAATAAAAGCAGTCGGAGCTAAAGCAATGAGGTTCTGAAACATGTATACGTTTATTTCAAGTCAAGAACTGGTTTACTAAGTACACACAATATATGGTAAGATAATGTTTAACCTTTGAAATATTTTCAAATATAAAAAAAATGATTATATAAACAAACAAGCATTATTCACGAACGAATTCAGAATGGAAGCTGTTGACATATGTATCTCGTTATTAAATGCATCAAAAGCGACCTGCAAATGAATATATAGTTTGTTTTACAATAGATCGCAACACGAGATGGATGCTATTCTTCCCATTTCACTGCCAGCAATTGTGATGCTGCGTTCCATGGTATATTTAATGTTTGTAAATCAAGTCTTCGTTATCAAACTTAACAGTCTATCTTCATACAGTGAAACGATAACTATATCGAGTAATGATGCCCTAGTAGCTTGTATGACTATGTGATACTGTATACATACAACTAGAGCTCTATACATTCCACATCCAAAATTAAATAATACGCGTCCAAAATGATGGGGGTAAAATACGGCGTCTATAATTTCATTTGTGTCAAGTCCAAAGAAAACTTTAATCACAGCCAGTTGTTTCTGAAAAGAAAATAGTTGTTAGTCGTCCGTACCACATAATGGTGCAGGATGATGACCTCACAGTAAACCAATTGTAATGTCATCTGTGAAGTAATTAGGAAGCCCAATGTGTCAGGGCATGGAGGGCGGAGTGAGTTATCGGTTTCAAGGAAGAACCCATGACTTGGAATGTCCAAACTGTTGAGTCTGGGTGTCAGACCCATAGCGATTAGGTCGGTGGCTTAGGAGATATTAACTACCTCGACAGGTATACAGGTGGTCGTTGGTTCGATCCCAATCCCGACCCTGACAATGCCTGCTGCTCTAAGTTTGGAGTATGCGTCTCTCTCCCTCTCTCTCTGTTCCCACGGTAGAGTAGATTTTTCTCCGGGTCCTCCGGTGTTTCCCTCGACATTTAGAATCAACGTCACACGTTTAGAGAGTATTTGGCTGCCGTAAATATCCACGTGATAATAAGCTATTTCGTTGAACTTTCATTTGTGGCAAAGTTGCATCTGGAAAAGAGATACATAGCTCAGTGGGCCTTACCTGGTAAAATAAAAAAATAGTTATTCGTTTAATTTAGATTCTCTTAACGTGTTTTTTTTGTTCCGATCTTTTTTTGTTTATCATTTTTTTTCTATCCCTCTCTTTTCCCCCAAAAGCAATATGTTATTAAACATTCAAATGCACAGCACATTCCAAGTGTAGAAAGATGCAAAAAGAAACACAAACGAATTGTGCAGTCAGGGTAAAACGTAAGATATACACAGAGATCGCGCGTTATATATTATGAGTGGGTGGTGTTTGGGTGATTATTGGAGAAGATGCATTGTCCTAGCCCAATTGGCTCGCTGCCAGATGTACGAACTGATTGGCGGAACAAACCCGTGTGTGCGCTTCCGATTGTCCAGGGAATTTGAAAGGAGAAACCCTCGTGTAATTCAATGTATCAAGACGATGTAACGCGCGGTAGTAGAAGGCTTTCATGACCAATATTATCCATAATTAACTTTTTTTGGTCAGACAGCGTAAATATAAATGTGTCGTTAAAGCCGCCAGATTCGATGAAGCTGATTGTTGTTGTAATAACCAGCCAAACGTCACGGTACTCAAATTGTAAATATTGTGGGTTTACTCTCCAACACACACCCAGTGTGCTGTACTAGTAACTGATTGGCACGTCTTGTTTACGTGGAAAACCTTACTAATTGGCTGTGTCGGGTGGTGGCGGGTTTAACAAATGCATTTATATTTACTCGATCTAACCAAACAACAACAACAATAACAAAACCCTTATTATGCATAAAGACGCATTAAGTATTGGGGAAAAGCTTTGCCCACTTTTCACCGAGGCAACTGGAGAAAGCAGCACAGACTATGTGTGCTAACATTATAACTCACAAAAACGTTATTAAAACATTAGAATTGGTTTTCTGGCAATATTAAAACAGGAGTTGTGTTAAGATGTTCACACACTAAATAGACAACACACACTATTGTAAGGCATCATCAAGTACAGCATTAACCACACGTCGTACTTTAATAAAAATGCCAAACACACGTGGCTCTGATCATAATAATGATGTACGCATTGTCTTTCAAACTGATTGGCCTACAACAAAGACGGCAGCCATCTTTATGGCCTTGGCTGTGCACTCGTGTTAGTAGACCAGAGTACTTCACCAAAAGGCGAACAGTACAAGGCAATGCAAGTATCAGAGAGCATTTAAAGCTCGGGTTGAATAGTCAACTCTATGGGATACCCTTTTTGATAATGGGAAAGGGGACCCGTAGATAACAATAACATCTTAAGAATCACAGTTAAGAGACAAAGAACATGAAAAGCGCTCAGACATTAAGATGATTACTACTACAAGTCGCTCAAACCTCTTCGCCCCGACAAAACCAGTGCTCTGTTGATCGAGGTGATGTCTCATTTAGCCCCCGACTCTGCATTCACACAACACTGGAAGGCGAGAGTGGGAAGAGGGTGAAATCGGTGAGCAAATAAGTCAAAGGTAACGCCAAGGGTTCTTAAATATATATTTCTGAGCTCACTTCAAAAAACATTAAATCAGAAAACGGTAAGCCACTGTCCTTTGCACCATAGACTGGTGACGTGGCCTAGCTGTGGTGCATTTGAAACAATCTTACATTCCCCTTTAAGTAAAATCAATGTCGCCCGACTCATAAATTCAGAATCCTTTGTGGTGCCGGCTCAATGTCACGGAAACGGCCATTGTGAACCCCACCCCCTACATCTCCCGCACCCCTGTTCTCAAGTCACCTGCACATCGCCTCCAGGGAACTCTGGGGGCCACGATTAAGTCGCCTGGTAAATGTCGGCTTCTCTTTCTTCCATGGCGAGGAGTGGCAATGCTTCGCCCGGCTCTCTCGATGCTGGTGGCCGCTGCTGTCGCTCCGATGGAAATCGGTGGCGGTCGAGGGGGCTGCCGCTTTCGCCGTCGTCCAGGTGTTCGTAGCCGGGCGGGAGGGATAAGCTCTCGCTCCCTTGCCTCACTCTGTCCAGGTGCTCAAAGAGCCGGATCGCGTTCTGCTCCGCCAGACGATTTGCAAACTCCGCCAATTTCTCGTCGATCTGCCTCTGCTCGCACTGAGCATACTGGTTCTTGAACAACGTCTCTATTTTTGCTCGGCGGATCTTGATGCATTGGTCCATAAGAACCACGAGGATAAAATTGAATATTATCAACACTAATGACGATAATGCCATGTCCTAAAAACAAAAATGCACAACAACATACCCTGTTGTACATTACACAATTCACACGGTTGACATCACCACCACGTTGCGTGATCAACGCGCCAACACACACAGCCTTGTTTTAGACGGCGAACTAAAAACAAGGGCACAAACATTCGTGGCCAATGTTATTTAGACGGCTGCAGCAGCAGCACCAGGAGGATGAGACAATTGATTTTTAATGTCGTTAATAATTGTCATCGCAAAAAGAACCATCATTTCCGACTGCTGCCTTGTTGCCCCAGGTACTCACCCATTCACTCATGCCTCCCCACTAGCTCAATAATACACCCACTCACCCACAACTCAGTCACCCACATCGTCAATACGGGACAGTTTGGCAATGGCTAAGGAATGACAAAGACAAGTCTAACACTTTCTGTTGATGATGAGATACCAGTGAGACAGGTGAGTGCTTTTGGCCTGGAAATAAAGAAGATAAATTACACTAAATTGATTTAAACAATTTGTAATTTAACCAGGTAAGGCCCACTGAGCTACGAGGCTTTTTCTTCAGAAGCGACCTGGCCATCACAAATTATAGCTCAAGGAAGTAGCTTATCACTTAGAAAATTATAGCAGCCAAATACTCAAAATGCATAAGGTTAATAATGAATGTGGAGGGAAACCTCGTAAGACCCAGAGACGCTCAATAAAACTAAACTATTTTTATCTGACCAGAAAGGGCCCACTGAGCTACGAGGCTCTTCTTTCAGAAGCGACCTGGCCATCACAAACGATAGCTCAACGAAGTGGCTTATCACGTAGAAAATTATAGCAGCCAAATAATGCGTGATGTTGATTATTCATTTGGAGGGAAAACCCGTAAGACCCAGAGACAAATCCACGGGACCACGGGAAGAGAGACACAGCAAACTCCATATATATGTAGTGTTGACAAAGTAGGCAGAGACTTCCCTTTGTAGGCAACACCGTTAATTCGCTTTAACGACTAAGAGCGCCCCTAACACGGAGAGGTAACGGCCTCTCCCACCCGATAGCCTAGAGGATACGTCCTCACACTTAGTGTGCCCTCACACTATATTCTGCTATCGGGAATTCCTCCGCTAAGGGGCCTAGGGGAGGCTATGCTCACCCGACCTTGCTAGGGTAATGGGTGCCGCCACTGAGCCGTTCGGACCTAGCTCTGACAAGGGCCGGGGGTCAGAAGTCCCAGGGCGCTATCTAGACGTCTTCGGGTCTTGAGGTGAGTGCGGACTGACTCATGCTGGGAGAGCTGCTGCCCTTTATATATTCCTCTCTCCCAACCGTCTTCTCTCTCGAGGGTCTGGGTCTGACCGTTGCCCCCCCCAGCCCCCTTCCTCAGTGGACTCTGGCCCCCTCACCTCGGGTCAACGGTTATTGTAGTCGTGGGTCGTACACCTGTCACTCAACAGCCCACTTGGCTGTTCTGCGCCCCCTACACACTGAGGGCGCCACTAGAGCTGAGTGTACGTGACCCATACAATACTGCTACGCAGGTAAGTACACCATATACAGCAGGCATAGTCAGGGTCGGAAGCGAACCCACGGCCTCCTGCATACTAGGCGAGGGAAATAACATCTCCTAGCCACTTCAGCGCCCACGTGCCTGCACTCAATTCTATTGTCAGGTGACTTTCTCACAAATCACAAAATACAGAATCATAATTTGTTTGAACAATAAACGTGGTCCTCAAATTGTATTTCTTTGTGACTGGAGTCTGGAGTCACAGCATTGTGTAAAGCCGATATCACAAATTAATTTACCTGTCCATATGGACGTCTATGATTGGAGATATGTCCACATGTAAGCGATTCAGATCCATGCAATCCAATTCGCAGCGTATAGCTCAGATGTGAATGCACCTTAAGACGTAAATGAAGTATTCTTGGCGTTTGTATTACAATACAGCATTGGAATTGCTACCTATTTGTGTATGTTGAACTTCGTGTACACCGTTCTTAGCAAACCGTGCTAATCGGAGGTCAATAGAGCAATGAACGTGTTTTTTTATTTTACCTGAGATTTGGCGCGGAGGAAGGTGACGATTTCCTTTCGGAGCTCATCGTTCGTCTCGTTTGAGACAAGGCCGAGGAACGGGTCCTCCAAGTTCTCACAGGGCACCTTTGCCAAAACGTCGTTCCGCTGCTGGTCACTTGCGAAACTCACGTTATTTAGCGCTGGAAAGCGCTGAAGGTTTACGAACTCGACTTGACCACATACGTAGGCGTCGCCGTGAAAGTAAGCTATTGTTAGCCAAATTAATGGTGCCAGAGAATAAGTGCTATTTCTCATTATTATTACGATTGGGACAAAAAAAAGCCATCGAAATATTAACAGACACTCGCCAGAAAGAATAATCGCTAATTTATGAATCGAACGTGCCTGTATCATTAAAGTTAAAGCAATCAACACCAAAGCTGGTACACGTAGAAACTGATATGCAGACGTTGCATTCTCTGGCCAGGTGCAAGGGCAGTGAAAGACAGTGAAAGTGAAGGTTTTCCCTGCTAGAGCAGACAGGATAGGCATAATCACGCCCGTGATTAAGGTAGCAATGCTAGGGAGGTATTTTCTGAAGCGTAAAAGACGAGAAAGCCATCCTTCCTCGCGCTCCATTTTGAATATACACAGATTCAGACTCTACACAGCAGCAGCAGCAGAAACAGAAGCAGCAGCAGGCTCGTTGTGTCTGAGGTGTTATGGTAGCCAGAAGCCACTATTTATACTATGTACTGCATAACCGAAGGAAGTGAAACCTGTTGGAATGTTTCACATGGATAAACATGTCAGAAGATTTGACTAAAGCCTGATAAATAACAGGGTTTGTGATGTACATCGTCTTATCACGTGGCACATTTGGGACGATCGAGTGGAACTGTTCTCAAAACACGCACGGGCAAGAAAACGCATATGGGAGGGGGAGGGGGGGGAGTCTTAAGGATTCTCTGGGGCAGGCACACGTCTTACGGTGTGTGAGTGTAAAAACCAAAATCGCTATTTCGCTCACTCGCTGTCTCGGCGAGCCAATGTCCTCTAACAACGATGTCAGCAATCATTGCCACCCATTTTGCTAATTTATTTTGCACGCAGGAGGGGAGACGGCATTCCCTTCTCGCGGTAGCTGTAACAATGCCCTCTCACTCTCGCTATATCCTGTGAGGGTTACGTTCTTGACAACACATCGCGAATGCAGAATCTGCACGTCGGAGGCTAAATGCCCAAAAAATGGCCTGTTTAGGGCCATAAACCGATCGTACGAGGTCTCTGAGTGTATCAAATAAACCTTGAAGGACTCTTAAACGCCTAAATGTGACTTCCAGGCCAGAAACCCCAAAGGAAAAATAACATGGACGCTCCTTCGCTTTGAAGAAGACATATGAATGGAAGTTACGGAATAAATGGATATATCTTTGCTGCCCCTATCTACCAGCTTCGTCAGGCAAGGCCTAACGGACAATGCTGCTTTGAAGTCCACCCACCGTAAGCGACAGCATATTGAAATAAGTCATCAAAGTCGGTCATCTGATGATAATCATCAATGTACACAAGTTGAAGACTAAGGTAACATCCATCACCACCTCTGCCCGCAACCCCCTCATTCGGATAGAGATGTGGGGTGATTTCAAAAGCCACACACACATATACAATGAGGGCTACTCAGACATTTACAAAGCCGGAGAGAAACTCGAGAAACGGTCGTCGGTGAAAGACACGTTCCTTTTGTATGACCCCAAACAACCTGGCATGATTGACTCAGTCTCATGGGAAAAAAATGAAAAAACCCCAAAATGATGCTTCGTTTCACAAAAATACAAGAACGGACAGATGCCATTAATTGCTTCATGAACAATTGTACACCGTATTTCCGAACTGACATAGTCCTGCAGTCACACAAATTCGATTACAGATATACCGGTCATGAATCTCAAAACCATGGGCGTGTTGGAAATATCCAAAGGCAAAATGTCCCGGCTTCAAAAGAAAAACCGAATCTCAATTGGTGAACATTGAACCAATACACTGTGATAAAAACACAGTTTATTTTAATCCGTACACCCCATCAGGTATCCAAATCAATCCCTCTTAACTTGGTTATTCATGGTTGGAAAATCCATCAAACACGTGAGGTCAACAATCTTGGTGTCCTTCTAGAATCTAGATAAAACTTAATAATTGCAGTCCCATGTCAACAGAACCGTGATAACCTTTTTTTCTACCTGAGAAATACATCCCGGTTCCGTCACATCCTTAACACTGCAGAAACTGAAAGACTGATCCACGCATTTGTTTCCTCCCACATTGACCACTCTTTTTGCCCAGTTTTTTTGGAACCCCATGCAAGCTCCTATACAGGCTGCACTATGTTCAAAATGGGGCCTCCAGTTTGCTAATTGGTTACAACCAATTATCATATTTTTTCTTCTGCCAAATGAGGTTCCAATGGTGGTTACAACCCTTTAATGATCACATCACACAACTGTGCTCCCATCCCTTCACTGGCTGCCTGTCCGTACCCGTATTGACTTTAAGATTATCTTGCTGTTGTTCAAGGCCTTCGACGTAATTGCTCCTCCCTACAGTCACTACCTGCTTCAGCCACATAAATACATTCTATCAAGATCATTAAGAACCTGAGATTGTGCATTGATCACCGTATCAAAGTCTCGCCTTCACACTTGGGGGTGGCGGTGCCTTTGCAATTTTGGCACCTGAAATCCAAGACACTTCATGCTCTTTAGCTATTTCCAATCGTCTTTCTTTCCCACTTCTTTCCTCGGTTGATGTTAACTATTTCTGCCTTCTCACACATAGCGTGCCCTGAGAACAAGTGTTTAAGGGCGTTTCATGAATTTAGATTATTATGAAGACTGAAAACTTTGATAAATTAATTAACACTTTGACACCTGTGAAGGGGTGATGGAAACTAAAACTACAATTTATTCTTACCAGGTAAGGCTCCACTGAACTGCCTAGCTTTTTTTCGGAAGCGGCCTGGCTATCACAAATGATAGCTCAACGAAGTGGCTGATGTCGTCATCATCATTATTACGTGGAAATGTATAGCAGCAACCAAATACTCAGAACCGATATTTTCCGAGGTAAAAAAATCGGAGGACCTGGAGAAAAATCCACACTACCACCACGCGATGAGAAAGATGTAAACACCAAATATATACCCGCAGCCATTGTCAGGGTCGGGGCTCGAACCCACTACAAACAAGCAATATGCACAAGCGAATTCAGAATGGAAGCTGTTGAAATATATATCTCGTTATTAAATGCATACAAAACGACCTGCAAATGTATATACATAGTTTTTTTTTTACTATAGATATACACACGAGGTGGATGCTATTCTTCCCATTTCACTGGCAGTAGTTGTGATGCTGCGTTCCATGGTATATTTAATGTTTGCAAAACAAGTTTTCTATAGCAAACCTAACAGTCATTCTTAATACAGTGAAACGATAACCATATAGAGTAATGATGCCCTAGTAGCTTGTATGACTATGTGGTACTGGGTACATACAACCAGAGCTCTCTACATTCCACATACATAATTAAATAATACGCGTTCGAATGATGTGGGTAAAAACGGTGTCTATAATTTAATTTGTGTCAAGCCCAAAGAAAACTTAAATCACAGTCAGTGTTTCTGAAAAGAAATTAGTTGTAAGTTGTCCGTACCACATAATGTTACAGGATGATGACCTCACAGTAAACCAACTGTAATGCCATCTGTGAAATAATTAGGAAGCCAAATGTGTCAGGGCATGGAGGGCGGAGTGAGTAATCAGTCCCAAGGTAGAACTCGTGACTTGGAATGTCCAAACTGTTGAGTCTGCGTGTCAGACCCATAGCGATTAGCTACGGTGGCTTAGGAGATGTTAACTACCTCGACTGGTATACAGGTGGTCGTTGGTTCGATCCCGACCCTGACAATGCCTGCTGCTGTATATTTATACTATGCGTCTCTCTCTCTCTTCCCATGGTTGAGTGGATTTTTCTTCGGGTGCTCCCATGTTTCCCTCCACATTTATAATCAAGGTCACGCGTTTAGAGAATATTTGGCTGCCGTAAATGTCCACGTACTGATAAGCCACAACATTGAACTATCATTTGTGGCCAGGTTACATCTGGAAAAGTGCTACATCGCTCAGTCGGCTTTACCTGCAAAAAAAATCTTATTAAAGGTAGATTATCTAAACGTGGTTTTAGTAGGTGGTGTTTGGGTAATGACGGGAGAAGTTCCATTGTCCTAATACCGTTAAAATTGTTTTGTAACTAAGCGTACAGCGTTATAACACCTTGCAGTAAATTTTTGCTGTTTAAGGGGGTTGGTTATGTGTGTATGGTGTGATTGTGATAGGGTTGTATGAGAGAGTTGTTGTGTGGTGCGATTGTGATTTGTTTGTGTGTGTGTTTCTGCGACGTCTGTCGTTATGAGTCAGTGCATTTGTGTGTACCTGTCAGTGTGTGCGTGTGTTTCATGTTATCTGCACCGGTTAAATACATTCAGGATGGCCCTACCTACGATCCATCCTTGGTTTCACCTGCAGGCTGGATCACAGTACGAGGCGCTCACAAACAAACACCCTGGTTGTGAAAGACGCATTACAGAAGATCTCTGGGGTTTGGTCTTCCACAAAGCTCATGGTCCACCCTCAGCTGAATCCGCTGCACACACCATGGCAGCAGGCAATTCTGATGATACCCTGATGCACAAATGGAAAATAAAAATAAAACTCTCCAGCAGTGTGCGACTGTGCTCATCCTGAATAGAGACCGTAATACATATAACGAGGCAATGCCCCGATCCACAAATATGAAGGAGACATCACAGCGTTAATGATGATCCACGACTCTGCTTTCTCCTGACGCGATGGTCTGGCTTGATCACCCGAATGTAAAATTGTAGCTGTAATATCTGCCATCTACATCAGTAGCCGTACGACAAGAATAATATTTTTTAATGATCTGGAAACAGTCCCCATCGTCAGTGAGAATCCTCTGAATGGCTCACACTTTAAACGGAGAATCGCCCTTGGCCCTGATTGGCCAACTGTCGCTCGTCCCAGGGCTCTGTCACGTGCTGAACGCGAACGACTGGCCGCAAGCCCAATTGGCTTGCTGCCAGATGTACGATCTGATTGGCAGAATAAACGCGTGTGTGAGCTTCCGATTGGCCAGGGTATTTGAAAGGAGAAACACCCGTGTAATAAAATGTATCAAGACGCTGTAACGCATAGTAGTAGGCTTTTGCGACCAATATTATCCATTATAAACTTTTTTTGGTTAGATCGTGTAAATATAAATGTGTCGTCAACCCTGCCAGCTTCGATGAAGCTCGTTGTTGTTGTAATCACCAGCCAAACGTCATGGTACTCAAATTCTAAATATTGTAGGTTTACTCTCCAACACACAACTGGTGTGCTGTAATTGGCACGTCTAGTTTTCGGGGAAAACCTAACAAAATTGTCGGTGTCGAGTGGTGGCAGGTTTAACGACGCATTTCTGTTTACGTGAGCTAACGCTACAACAACAAAACCTTAACTATATTATGTATTACGAGGCAACTGCAGAGAGCAGCACAGACTAAAGATTTCAGTTTTGTT